GTCGGGTTGAAGATTTGATTTCCACACAGGTCAGACGTCGTCTGCGCGGCGCCGCTGACGGACCTCGACGCGCACGAGCTCGCGGCGAGCCCCGCCGCGGTGTCGTCCGACGGCGCCTGGCGCTTCGGCGAGGACGCGCCGGGCAAGAAGGGCTGGATCGTCGACGACGCGCATGGTGGTGTGGTGAACTTCACCGTTCACACGCCGCCCGACGGCCGGGACCCCGTCGTCGGCGTCGGCTTCCTCGCGTCCTGGGATCCGTCCATGGGCGCCGTGCGCGTCGTCGTGGACGGCGACGCCGAGAACGCGGCCGTCCTCAACGCGTCGCGGCCCGGCGGCACGGCGTCGCAGACCGAGTACGCGCGGCTCTGCGTCGAGCCGCCGCGCTATTCGCCCTGCTTCCCGGCCTGCGGCGCGCCGACGAAGCGGCCCCTGCGCTTCGCGGCCCACAAGCCCGCGTCCTGCGACCGCGACCAGCGCCAGTGCGAGAGCGCGTGGCGCCGCTACGACGCCGCGCAGCGCGCGTCCACGGCGCGGTCCCTGTCCTTCGAGCTCCTCCCGCGGCCCGGCGCGGCCTCGAACCGGTTCGTGTTGCGCTACGTCGTCACGTGTTAGATGAGCGTGTCGCGATCGAGGTCGTGGGGGTTCCGGGTGTACCCGCCGGAGGATCCCCAGAAGCTCCGCAGCAAGCAGTCACACGCGAGGCTCAGCGCGCCCGCCGTCCTCGCTTTTGCCACGTCCCCCGACGTCACCGTGGGCTCCGTCGTGCGAAAGAGCAGCTCGCAGGGCGCCTGCTCCCAGGGCCGCCGCTTCGCGGTCGCCGCCGTCGCGGGCTCGCCGTCGACGGCGACGAGCGTGTGGCCGACCTTGACCCGGCCGAGGAGCGGCGACGCGGCCGCGATCCGGGCGATCTTCGGCGCGCCGCGCTCAAAGTCCGCGCGGAGCGGGCCCGGCGCGAGGACGACGACGTACTCGCGGTAGAGGACGTAGCCCGCGTCGTCGTAGACCTTGCGCGTCTCGCGGTCCTTGCGCTCGTCCGGCGCGACCTTGGACGACGCGGCGCGCGACTGGCGCACGCCCGCGAGGCCCGCGGCCAAAACCCGCTGCCGCCGCGCGAGCGCCGCGCGCGTGTCGCGCAGGTCCGGCGAGGCGCAAACGCGCTCCATGCGCGAGTTCGTGCACAAATTCTGGAACGCCGGCATCGACGGCGCGTGGGCGAGGACGAGGCGCAGGACGTCGTCGGGCAGCCCCATGAGGCCCACCGGACGTTCGGGCGTGGGGTTGGGCTTGGTTCCCTCGAGGGAGATGTGCTCCGGGACGACTCCCTGCCTCGCCATAGTAAAAATGCTCTAGGGGTGCGTTCTATAAGCTAGGTTTTTCGCCTGCATTCCCCACGGGTGTACGCACAAGCCAGGGAAAGCACAAACCTGTGTTCAACAAGTGCGATTGTTGCACTCGGATCTCGTCGGAGCATGGCTCGTTGCCGAGTCGCAGCGCTGCTGCTGCTCCGCGCCGCGGCCGCCTTCGTCGCGCCGCGCCCGCTGCCGCCGCTGCGCAGCCTGCGCCGCGCCGCGCCCGCCTTCGTCGCGCCGCGCCCGCCGCCGCCGCAGCGCAGCCTGCGCCGCGCCGCGGCGCCCGTCGACGCCGCGGAGGAGATCTGGTGCCCCAACGGAGAGTGCGAGGTACTCACCGATGCGGCGCCGGACCAGGAGGAGCTGTCGCTGAAGGAGCGGGTGCTCTCCTGGCTGGGCCGGCGGCGGAGCCGCAACGTCGAGCCCGGGAAGCTCGTGCTCGTGCGCCACGGCGAGTCGACGTGGAACGCGAACAAGACGTTCTCGGGCTGGGTCGACGTCGACCTCAACGGCGTCGGCGAGCGCGAGGTCGAGCACGCGGCGCGCCTCATGATGGAGCGGGGGCTCACCATCGACGTCGTCTACACGTCGCTCCTCAAGCGGGCCATCCGGTCCGCGTGGATCCTCCTCCGCGAGTCGAAGCAGTCGTTCCGCCCCGTCGTCAAGGACTGGCGGCTCAACGAGCGCCACTACGGCGCCTTCCAGGGGCGGTCCAAGCCGGGCCTGGCGGCGCTGCTGGGCTACGAGCAGGTGCGCGACTACCGCGCGGGCTTCGTCGCGCGGCCGCCCGCGCTGCCGCGGCACCACGCGCTGTCGCCGTTCCGCGAGCGCAAGTACACGGGCGTCGCGGCCGACGACCTGCCGCTGACGGAGTCGCTGCGGGACTGCCTCGAGCGCGCGCTGCCCGTCTACGAGGACCGCATCAAGGCCGACGTGCTCGACGGCAAGGACGTCGTCGTCGTCGCGCACGGCAACGCGCTGCGGGGGTTAGTGAAGGCCATCGACGGCCTCAGCGACGACGTCATCGAGAACGTGGCCATCCCCAACGGCATCCCCCTGGTCTACGAGTTCGCGCGGAGCGCCGCGGGCGACCTCGTGCCCGTGCCCGGCGAGAACGCCGAGGGCCAGCTCAGCGGCGAGTTCCTCGAGGAGAAAGGAGCGCTCCGCGAGGCGTTGGAATTCGAACGCGCGCGGACGCGGCCCGAGTCGCTCGCGGACCCGTCCGAGGACATCTCGCGGCTCTGGGGCGTCGACAAGTCGACGGTGCTCTCGCCCCTGGAGCAGAGCCTCGCGAAGCTCCAGAAGGAGCGGCGGCTCATGGCGGCGGCGGCGGCCGAGTTCAACGTGCCCGTGGAATACCGCGTCGCGGACGACGTCGTCCGCAAGGTCACGCGCGGCGCGCTGCGCGAGGAGCTCGCCCGGGAGAAGGCGAGCAATGTTTTCAAGGGCACGCGCGGCGCGCTGCGCGAGGAGGTCGCCCGGGAGAAGGCGAGCAAGGTGTCCTTCGCGCCCGGTGCTAAAACGGCCGCGTCGTCCGCGGTCTACAAGGACGCGTTCGAGGCGGCCGCGGCCGCGCCGCGGCGGCGCCGGTCGGTTAGGCCGCCGGCGCCGGGCGAGGCGCGGCCGCCGCTCGTCGTCATCATCCGCCACGGCAAGACGACGCACAACAAGCTCGGCCTCTTCACGGGCTGGGAGGACGCGCAGCTCGCGCCCGAGGGCCGCGCCGAGGCCGCGGCCGCGGGCGCTTTGATGCGCGCGCACGGCGTCGAGGTCGACGTCGTCTACACGTCGTGGCTCACGCGGGCCATCGAGACGGCGTGGCTCGTGCTGAGCCCCTTGGACGCGCTCTGGGTGACGATCCACAAGAGCTGGCGCCTCAACGAGCGCATGTACGGGCGGCTCACGGGGTTGAGCAAGCGCATGATCAAGCAGAAGCACGGCGACGACCAGTTCATGAAGTGGCGCCGGGGCTACCGCGAGCGGCCGCCGCCGGCGAGCCCCTTCAGCCCCTTCTACCCGGGCAACGACGAGCGCTACCAGAAGTACGTGTCCGACGTGCCGATCTCGCTCCGCCAGTCGCTCATCCGGTCCCTGGGCCACGGGCGCCTCGAGCTGCACCGCAAGTTCCCGCGGGCCGAGTCGCTCAAGGACTGCATGGACCGCACGATCCCCTACTACCAGAACACGATCTACCCGCAGACCATCGCGAAGAACCGGACGGTGCTCATCGCGTCGTCCGAGAACGCGATCCGCGGCCTGCTCATGCACCTCTGCGACATCCCCATCGCGAACATCTCCAACGTCGAGATCCCGACGGGCGTGCCCCTCATCTACGACATCGCCGGCCGCTGCGTCCACCTCTTCGACGACGGCCAATTGCCGAAGCCCCGGGACCGCTACGACTTCGGCGAGGCCGCGGACCTCCTCTTCCGCCCCTGCGACTACGACGACGACGACGGCTGCGACCTGCTGGACCCCCACCTCTACCTCGACGACAAGTTCCACCGCGGCGACGACGGGGGGCTCGGCCCCGACAGCGAGGCCGCGGCGGAGCGCGAGGCCTGGGAGCGCGTCCTCGAGATCGGCGAGGACGACGAGTTCACGACGGAGGAGCGCGACTTCTGGGTCAAGGAGATCCGCGAGGGCGCGACGGAGTTCGACGACGAGCCCGTCGAAGTCGAGATCTAAGGTCGTGTGTTGTGTTGCAGTTTGGGTGTTCTCGGACTGCATCGTAAGTTGACGGCACGTTTGAACACTTTGCGAAACGCTCCGGAGCGCGAACCTTCTCGCACGTCGTCGGCAGCCACCATGAAACACAGCAGCCAGAAGCGCCAGGCGCACACGCCGCTGCCCCGCGGCTCGAAGAAGACGCACACGCTGCCCCGCGGCTCCAAGCGCTACGTCGGTCGCAGCGTGACCAAGGCGTTCGCACGCGAGGACAATGGCGTGATGGACGTCTTCAGCGGTCATGTCGTCGACTACGACGCCCGCGATCGTTTCTACCGGATTCTCTACCACGACAACGACGTCGAGCAGGTGGACCACGACGAGCTCGCGGACATCTTGGACGCGGACGCGGACGACGTGCACCCGCGCGGCTTTGGCAAGGTCACCTCGGTGGAGCTCGAAGCGGACCTTCGCTGTGCGGCGGCGCTCCCATCGCTGCACGGGCCGACGCTATACTTGAAGATCGGGAAGTTGGACATCGACGCCCGCGGCGAGGTCGAGACGGGGGACGAGGTGCTCTTCGCCTTCGCAGGCGCGCCCCTCGCCCGCGACGAATTCGGCTGGTATCTGGGAACGATCAAGTCGGCCCTCACGCGCGCCGAGAAGAAGAAGTTCCCGGGTTGCCACGCCTGGTGCTGCTTCGACACTGCGACGGATCCGAAGAACTACCGGCTCTGCGCCGCCTACGGGATCAAGGCCTCGAAGGTCCAGATCGCGATCACCACGGACGACGCCCACCGCGGCTCGCTCTGGGCGAAGGTGCGGACGACGGTCGACGTCGGGCAGCACGCCGGCCCGGGGAAGCCCCGGAAGAGCCAACCATCGGACGTGGACTCGCTCCAGGACCCCGCCTGAGGCGGAGACGCGCCGAGTCCCCCGCGCGCCCCGACGTCCCCGCGCCGCGACCGCCGACTCATGGACAGATTTGACGTGGCGGGGCGCGCGTATGGCGCGCCTACGCGTTGACGGAGAAGACGGCGGGCTTGTCCGGCGCGGAGCCGCCGAGGCCGATGGGGTTGGACGTGCCGAGGTCCTCGAGGGGCATGTACTCCGCGAGGATGCCGCGGACCTGGTCCCGCATCTGCGCCTGCGTGTGCTTCCAGTAGGCGAGCCCCGCGAGGAGCATGACGACGACGATGGCGACGACGAGGAGGAAGACGGCGTACCAGGGGATGCCGCTCTTGACCGTCTCCTTGGTCTTGGTGACCTCGGGCGTGACGTAGGGCGCGACGGAGTCGGCGAGGCACTTCGCGTACGCGTCCGACGACACGAGCGCCGCGGCCTCGACGCAGTCGCAGGCCGGCGGGAGCGCGTCGCGCGCGTAGCCGTGGCACACGGTGGACAGCACGTTGAGCGGGCTCAGGCCGCCCCAGACGACGGCGTCGTTGACGATGCACTCCGGCACGTAGACGATGTTCTTGTTCTCCAGCTCCGCGACCTCGTGGTCCAGCACGGCGTTGGGCCCGCCGTCGAGCCCCCCGCTGTCCGCGACGCAGGCGTCGACGTAGGCCTCGTCGACGCCGGCCTCGCGCATGGCCCGCGACCGGCAGCCGGCGTCGACGAAGTCCTCCGCGGTGCCGCAGAGCTCGGAGAAGTTGCCCACGTAGTCCCACCACGTCTCGCCCACGCCGACTTGGTCGGACTCGGCCTGGTCCTTGCCGCCGTAGCGCTTCCAGACGCAGGTGCGCCGCAGGTTCTCCGCGACGACGTCCGCGCCGGCGATGCCGTCCGCGCGCTTCCCGTCCGGGTCCGGCGCGCAGTAGCGGCCCCCGTTCGTGCACAAATTGCCGCAGAGCTCGTCGTCGGACGCCAGCTTGAGGTCGCAGCCGTAGTGGGACCCGTTGTACGTGTAAAAGTGCGGCGTGAACAGCTGCTTCGTGCCGAGCGCGAGCACCGTGGCCTTGAAGTCGCGCAGGAAGTCGAGGCTCGCCTCGTCGATGGACGTCGTCCAGAGCTCCCACTCGACGCGCGCGTCGGGCGCGGGCACCGTGTACTCCAGCGACGCCTGGACGAGCGACTCGACGATCCAGGGGTCGCGTTTGCACTTTTGCCCCGGGTACGCGCCGCACCTGAAGTAGTCGCGGATCGCGTCGCCGTCCTCCTTGTAGAGCATGACCGACGCGATGGAGATGTCGCTCCCGGAGCCGTCGTCGGCCATGATGGGCTCCTGGCCCTCGCACCGCGCCTGCGGCTCGCACGCCGTGCCGCAGACGCAGCGGTCGTCCGCGATGACCAGACCCGACGCGCCGAGAGCCTGGGCGTTGCGCGCCTTGACGACGAAGGTGCAGCCGCCGCGCTCGGCGAACATGAGGTAGGGCGACGAGACCGCGCCGCGCATGCTCGCGTCGACGTCGCAGAGCGTCGAATTCGCGTAGACGAGCCGCTGGCTCAGCGACTCGTCGTACTTGGGCTGGCCGAAGAGCGCCGCGACGTGGGCGTAGCCGCCGTCCTTGTTGAGCTGGGCGGGGATGGCGATGTTGAAGAGCGTCGAGCCCGCCGAGGCGCCGGCGGCCAGGAGAAGCGTCGCCGCGCCGCCGGCGCGCATCGTGGCGGACGGAGGGCTCGCGACGCGTCGGAGGCGAAGCGGGCCGCGACGGAGGAGCACGCCTAGGGCGGCGGCCGGGAGCGGGCGAGGCGCGGCGGCGGCGGTGCGTCGCCTGTGCCCGGCGTTCGGCAGATTTCGTCGACTCTGGCCCTCCGTCGACGCGATTCGCCTGGCCCGCGCCTCGCATCGCGTGAGCCTCGCGCGCGCAAGGCTCGCGCCGAACGACGTACCGAAGCGCACACGTACAGACACGTTACGACCCGCCCTTGCGCTCGAAGTGCTCGTACTCGACAGAGAAGAGCCCCGCGACGAGGAGCGCGCGCTGCCGCTGGGACGCGCCCGCGGGGAACTCGACGAGGAAGCTGTCGAACTGGTTCAGGCAGCGGCAGAGCGTGTTGCAGCAGGACTCGTCGCCGCCGGCGGGCGCGAACGTCTTCTGGACGTGGCTCACGACGGCGCCGGACTCGTCGAGGACGTCGATGACGAGGTCCGGCCGGCAGCACGTCGCGCCGCAGCAGTTGTTGTGCTCGCCGCAGCAGCAGGAGTTGAACCGGAGCGTGAAGCCCGGCTCGGTCTCGGAGGTCACGCGCGCGAAGAAGGTGCACAGGCAGCAGCACGTCCACCACTTTTCCTCGAACGACGACGTTCCCGCGGCGGGCTCGAAGGCCTCGACGACCTCGCCGACGACGCGGCCGCCCTCCTCGACGAGCGATAGGCGCAAGCGCAGACTCTCGGGCCGCGTCCGCACCAGGAAGAGGCCGACGCACGCGCCCAGGACGCCGAAGACGAGCTCCGCGATGCCTCCCAGCGGCACGGCCACGAAGAAGGGCAGCGCGTACGTGACGACGCGCCCGAGGAACAGGCCGACGCCGGCGCACAAGCCGATCGTCGCCTTGATGCCCATGCGGAACGGCCGCGCGAGGCGGAAGCGCTCGATTCCCGCGCCCCCGTCGGAGCCGTCGACGGACTCGAAGAAGTGCATGGTCAGGGCCCGGAAATTCAGACAGCCGCAGCAGGCGAGCGCCGCGCGCCAGCCGCACTTCGACTCCTCGTGCGCGACGAGCGCCGCCGGCAGCGCGAGCAGATCCTTGTTCGTCGGCCGCCAGCGCGCCGCGTCCGTCGGCGACGCCGCGACGGCGCGGCCCTCGGGCAGCGCGGAGACCTTGTAGCGGTTCTTGGCCTCGTAGGGCAGACCGAGGCCCTGGGCGAAGGACTCGAGGAACTGCGTCTCCTGGCGCACGACGACGCCGCGCATCTTCTCCAGGTCGGCGGCGACGAGGTCGACGGCTACGGCGGCAGGAATGAGCGGCGACACCATGGTCGAGCCGAGCTCGACGTCGCCGCTCGGCTGGTCGACGACCGCGATCATCGTCAGCTCGGCGCGCTGCGTGAGGCGCAGTTCGAGCACTGCGCTGCGAGAGAGCAGCTCGACCTTATGCTCGCGCACTGCGCTGCGTGAGGCGCGCGGCTGCGAGATCCACGGTCGGACGCGCTTTGCGCAGGCGACAACGTTGAGTTCACGTTTACGTCAACGTCTCGGGATCACACACCCCTTAAAGCGCCGCGCGCCCTAGTCGAGGTGGTGCTCCATCTTGTGGCGCATGATGGGGAGGAGCTGGGCCCGGGGCGCGGCGAGGAGCGGCTCCGCGTCCGCCGCGGTCGGCGCGCCGCCGGCGGTCTCGGGCGCCGCGGGCGCGCCGCCGCCGTTCTCGTTGAGCGCGCAGCAGCAGTTGAGGGGCACGAGGGCGCCGGCGCAGAAGCAGAGGCAGAGCGTGCAGTAGATGACGTTGCCCTCGACGTGGCAGAGGCCCTGGTCGATCTCGAAGAACATGAAGTCGACGAGGAGACTCGTCGCGATGGCGTTCGCCTTGTCCATGGCGCTCACCGACGGGTCGAAGGTCACCTCGAAGTTGTCGCTGTCCGTGCAGAGCGCCTTGCAGGCCTCGCCGCAGTCGCGCGGCGCGAGGTGGCGGATCGTCGCCACGGGCGCGTCGTCGCGCTTGACGACGAACGTCGAGTCGCAGCACATCTCGCTCCAGCCGCCGAAGCACGTCGGCCCCGTCATCTTCGTGTCGAGCTGGTCCTGGGCGTTCAGGATCTCCAGCGTGGGCACGAGGCAGCCGCCCAGCGGCGCCGGCTGGCGGATGAGGGAGAGCTTCGTCGCGGGGTTGATGTTGCCCGGCTCGCCCTGGACCAGGCCCTCGTGGACGATCATCTCCTCGGCGCAGAATTCGCCGAGGATGGGGCAGAAGAGGCACTGGCGCGGGCCGTTGCAGTTGC